TTACAATAAAGCCTCGAATTTCGGAAAAAAACGGCGGAAGCAAAGTTGTACACCTAATATTATATATATTATGAATAAAAAAAATTCACATTAAAATAAATATTTAAAAAATACTTTGTATTCCATGTCAAAATGTTTCAAAATAGAATAAAATATTATTGATAATTTTTTAATAATTTTATTTAATATACAAAGTAATTGAAAAAATTATATTTAAAAAAAATCATATTGTCTGTGCGTTTTTCACCGTGTCGGCAGAGCTTCGGACCCTTCGAAATGATTGTTTTGGAATCGAGCTAAGGTTACTTACAGTTGAGAAATTGACAGTTTACGGAATTGTGTTCAAATGATGAATAAACAATGATTGAATTTTCTTTCTTAATAGAGTGTATCCTTTTCTTCTGAGTAATGGAGGTTCCTTTGCGGATAAAGCGACGTGCGTTTTTTACCATGTCGGGATTCTGGAGTTTCCATAGGGTCTCAGAACAACCTTCAAATATTTTATGCGCAGATAGAACGGACTAAATTGAATCGAAAAATCCTTTAACACGCATACACACACACACATACGCGCACACACATACATGCATTTTGCAATTTTTGTAATAGTAACAAGATATTGAATCGTTGAATATTAGTTTTCAATAATTTTCTACTCAAATACTATCGACTTTACAGAAAAAACAGCAAGAAACAAAAATTGTTTATTTTCTTCTCTAGAATTCCGAGAATTTTTTTGAAATTTTTAAATGCATTTTTTCATGTTGACAAAAAGTGTTGCCAATAAGAAAATGCAGTACTAAAAAGTTGATTGAAAATTCTGAAAAAAATTCTTAGAGCTCTACAAGAAAAAATAAACAATTTTTGTCTATTGTTATTTTTCTGTAAAATTGATACTTGTATAAAAAATTATTAAATGATTCAAATAATGAATTCAATATTCAATGATTTTTAGTAATTAATATCTTGTTAATTATTGTTAAAAATTGCAAATTGCAATGATAGAGGACTTCTTGATTCACAGTTTAGTCCGCTCTGCATGAAATATTTGGCGGTCATATGGGACAAAAAATGATGATAATCTTCGTATGTAAAAATCTTTAGAAGTTAATTTTTTAAAACTCATTTTATTATTATTTTCCACATCATATGAATTTTGTTTAAAAAGTTTTTTTCTAAAACATACAGGTATTCAGATATTTGGGAGACTAAATTAAAATGAATCATCCTATAAAATTGCTGGAATATTTTTTCTAAGTTGGTTTTTGTTTTCAATTAGTATTGTTACGGATTAGTATTGTTTAATTACATCTGGATTTAAATATTTTAAAAACTTTTCTTTTTTAACAGGAAGTTCCAATTACTGTGGATATTGGTAGCAAATTTTGTGTCGGCGCTCGTTTATTTATTGTGGGAAGATTAAAGTTACTGCCTCATTCGTAAGCATTTAATATTGTAATTTAGCCATTTGTATTTTCCCAAGTTTATTCAATGAACTATATCATACTATTTTATAGATTTTACATAAATCTGCAGAAGGGTAAAACCATTTATCCTCATCCCATTATACTACTGCATTTAAATCCACGTTTTTTATACGGCAATAGTGAGCCATATGTCGTAATGAATTATTGGAACAATGGTACATGGGGTCACGAAGAGCGACATCAAGGTCAATTATCCTGGATGCCCGGTCGAGACTTCGTACTTATGTAAGATTTTATAATTAGAAAGACTTGCACTTTCTTATAACATGAATATTATTGAAAATGAAAATATTTTAATAATGCAACATATTTGAAATATTATAAGTATATTATAATATAAAAACATCATAATTGTAATATTTCATTGAATACATTGCAAGACATTACTGCAATATCTTTAGTCACGTATATTACAATGGTCTAGAAATATTGCAAACATATTTCTTTTATAATATAATCTATGTTATAAATTAATGAATTAAATATCCTGAATAATAATTTAGATAAGGGGCCAGTATCTTTGCATGGATGCTATGTTACCATGTTAGGAATTAGCATAGTAAATTTACAAGCTCCACACCAGTCACGTTTTGTCTAGTATTGTTTGTGTAATTTAAAAAATAATGGAATCGCGATATAGACTTAATTTCTTTGATTTGAAGAAATCTTTTGATTTCCTTTCTATTAGAATAAAAGAACATTAAGAATCTTTATTTTAGATTGCATATGTTAGAACATAATTAATACTAAAAATTAAAATGCCTATAATGATCCAAGCTAGATCTTCATTGCTTAAATAATTCAATCTTGAATTACTGTACAAGATGTCTCTAACTCGACATCTGAAATAGTTCGCTTTTTTTATGATAGGAAAAAATGTTTCAGATGAAAATGGAACGGTTTCAAAAGGGACGTATTTTATTATTGTCTTTCTTCTAAATAGAGATGTCAAAAAGATATGAAGGTTACCTCCATTTTTTTTAATGGAATTGTATGATTTTTTTTATACAAAAATGATTTCCTTAATTATTTTAAATATAAAAGATAGTGAAATCAAGATATTTTATGCATTATTCTGACATACCATATATTAACATAAAACGTTAAATTATTTGTAAACTATTATTTTTTTTATAATCATATCTTAATACTTATACGAACAGAATAATGAGAATGAATTAATTGATGTAAAGAAAACACATAAAAGTATTAAGATACGATTATAAAAAAATTAATATTTTACGAATTATTTAACATTTTTTGTCAATATATGCTGAAATAAGATATAAAGTATTTAAACTAAGTACTTAAATAAGATATAAACTAAAGTACTTAAATAAGATATAAAGTATTTAAATTATTGTTTTTTTTGATATCACTACTTTAATATTTTTATATGTAGAATTATAATTCTTCCATGTAGCCTATAATCGCATTAATCATCTTTTATTAAAAAACTACCATGCTACAAGTATTCATTTTTGGTTATTCTACAATAAATTTGTTCATTAATTATTCAGTAGTCTTCTGCGCATCCATATCGAACAATATCTCATTTATTGTTCATATCACGTTTAGTTATTCACGCTTATTTTTTAGGAGCTTTATATAGAGCTTCAAGATTAATTTAACAGTAGAGGAGAGTGTCTTAAATCGGACCGTGTTCCAAATTAAAAACCTTTTTAATTTAATTAAATAAATACGGTTAAGCAGATTTGCGTGCTATTTATAATGTAAAGTCCTTATAAGACACTACATGTGACAGCAGTCTAACAGTTCTCTGTATAACATTCATAAAATAGGCGCAAATATGTACTTTTAGCCATTGTGCACAAATTTTTTTAAAAAAGAAGGTTCTTGTAAATCATCATTTAAAAAGTGTTAAAATTTTGAAAGGTAATCGATTTAAGAGTTAATTAAAGAGTATAGAATTCAAAAATATCAATCATTTTGTGATCACTTTTGCAACTTATTGTAAAATTTGTTCCAAAAGTACGAAAGGACTGTGTCCAAATCAGACCTCTTTTTGGTGTTTAAATCGGATCTACAGTAGATTATGCCTGATTGTAATACTGATGATCGGTCGACCAGAACCAAGGGTCCAAGAAATTACATCAATTAAATATCATGAATCATAAGACACAAATTAATTGATTTTTATTGATTTCAATTCTAATAAAAAAATATATAAACTCAGTAATTTTTTCCTGAATAAAATTTTTATTTTTGTCAAATTGCTTATTTGTATTCAACCAACAAAAATTAATCTTAGCACATGTTTTTTTGCACTCTTAATGTATACCCTGGGATGTCCCTGAGATCCCATTCATATTTATTGCAACGTCCGTAGAAATGAATATATTTCAATTAATTTTTTATTAATTACGGAACCAGTGGTGCACATTTAGCCTTCGACAGAAAACCAACCTCACTACTTCTATCCCCACCTATAAGCAGCCCCATCTACTGGCCGAGGGTACGGTCAACGCGATGCTGCAAACGCTTTGAAGCGTTTTTAATTGGTCAGTTTGTAAAATTCTTTCTTCTAATTGGCCCATTAAATGCTTCAAAGCAATATTTTGACTACAGCCCGAGTCGGCCGACTTCGCTTCTGCGCGAGAGTGAGCAAGACAGCGAGAGAGAGGACCCGTCCTTCTCGCTCTATTAGTAATTTGTAAATATAAGTGAGTAATAGAGCGAAAAAGACAGGCGCTCTCTCCCGCTCTCTTCCTCTACTAATCGATTGTTACAAGCGACCGAAAATCGAAAATATGTTTTCTCGGCAGCTCGGCGTGTTCCTGTATAAGGGAAAAAGGGACACACACATTCTAGATAACGATAGATTTTAATAAATTTTAATATAATCCTCTCATTAATAGCAAAATTGATTTTAACGTTAAAAAAATCACAAAATGTGTTTCAAACGTGACATTTTTCGTAATATCTTTTCAGTGTACTCATATATTTTTTTTGGAAATACGCTCATGTTGATATCTTGATACTTTTTTCAAAATTTAAAAATTGGTACTTTACAATTAAAAAGGTTAAAAATGAGTATTTGTCTAATTATTCATTTACTTTTCATTTTTAAAAGTGCATATTTAATAATTTCATAATTTTTCATAACATTAATATATATTAATATTTATTAATAAAATATACATTAATATTATTCGTAATATTAATATTAATGATCAATTATGAATATTATTATTATTATTACTAAAAAAATGCAATTTTATAGTAAGAAAAAGTCCAATATAGATTAAATAATCGTTTCAATTTTTTTTAACTATAAAATGTAAATTTTAAACATTTGATGAAAATGTGTATTCAAATATCAATTAAGTGTTTTACCAAAAAAATTTCGTCTACAGGGTGGGCCATTTAAAATTTGGAATTTAATTTGGCTCTAAAAAAAAACGCATGATGAATATTTTTCAAAGTTTATGGCTTTATTGGAAAGGTAGTACATTACCACTAAACATGAAATACAATTTCATTCAAATGACTTCCATAGCTGGCTGCACAATACCCCATTCTATCCCCAATTTTTCAGTACATTTTCCACTGTATGGGCGCGTATTTCATCGTACTCCAAGAATATCATTTAGAATGTGTTATTTAATACTAATTGCTAATTTAATAAAAAAATATTTTATTTTCTTTTACTGCGAAGTATCAATTTAAAAAATTTTAAAACAATATGTATTATCAATACAAATGTTCTACCAAACAAATTCTATGTGTATATTCGAAAGACTATGAACACTGTTTGAAAAACATTATAATTCTTTTTGGTCTTGAAATTGGTCTGCTCTTTTTGTTCTATCTTTATTACATTTTTTCAATTTTTTGATACGTATATTCCGGGATATAATGTTTCAATTTTTATTTGGCAATTATTTAAGAAGTCGTATTCGTGTATAAGTATTACAAATTAAACCTGATCCACGCACTCAAAATGAGTCTCTTATTGTTACTTACTTTTTTTAAATAAGTTTCAAATTTTCTTCAACCATAGGTACTTTTGCCTTTCTTCTTGAACTTTAGCTTTTCATAAAATTTATACAAATTGTAAGTGAAGAACTAACGCTGAAAAATAAACAAAAAAGCGCTTTAAAATTGAATGTTTGGGAAATAAGGAACCCACTCTTGTCAGGAACGTGAACAGAAGTCAAGTGTTGAAACTATTTTATATATTCTCACTCATTTACATATGTTACAAATCAAAATCGTTCAAAACACAACTGTACATGCAATCTTAATAAAGGTGAGTTACACATCTTTTATAAACATTCTTGAATAATAAATCAATATTAATTATCCGTATTACTGCTCGACAGAAAACACGGGAAGATGGTGATTTCTTCCATCAGAAAGAAATGTAAAAAATTGACTAATAAATCACGTATGAATCATAACTATTTGACAATTTTTTTACACTTCCAAAAAAATGAGGGAAAGGAAAGAAATAAAACAGGTATTTAAGCAAGGTGAAGCAACTTAAAAGCAATAAAGCGTTAAATAAAACTTGCACAATTAATTAAAATGCTACGTATAAAAAATTCAAAGTAATATTAGTCACGAACAAGCAAACAAAATGTTAGTATGGCATATTATACATTTGTAATTCAAAAACGCTAATTAATAATATTTATATTTGTGAATAGAAACTACAATATTTAACTACAGTATTTACAGTTACAAAAACGTATGCATTTGCAAAGTCTTTATAAAAAGTTTTTTCACACAAAGATAATACGCGTAGGTTTTTCTTTCTCTGCAAAATCATTCGTATGATATATGAATAATAAGAAAGCCATAAACTATGTATATAGAATCTCAGAGCATGACATCCATTTACAGACAAACTTCGGATGAATATGTATTAGAACATTTTAAAAAATTAGTCTAGACGACGTTGTTTCGCGTCATTTATTCTCAGTTTAGTCCTCAAATGCAACCTCATGCGATACAACATTCATGTTTCAATGATGTTGAACATATTTCGAGTAGAACACATTCTGTGTTCTACTCGAAAATTTTTCCAATAAATATTACATATGGCTTCTCAGTAAAAATACGTAAGTTCTACAAATAATATTTTTCATTAATTACACTTCTAACTTAATGCCACATCTTATAATGTAGCAAAAATGTTATAATACTATTCGTCTGACATATTAATCATATTTAGTTTAAATTGAAATAAAAGTTGTAAG